ATAATTCCATAATCCACTAGAATAAATTATGGTTTTAAGTATGTACGTACTTTTCATAAAGCAATTTAAACAATAGAAAAGAGAATAGATTAATGTACCTTATCATCGAACCTATTTTTTGAAACCATTAAATCAATACTGCATTTACATAAATTGATGTAACTTATAATATCGGCACTAAAATTTCAAATATAGATTTTTTGTGTTTGAAAGATTTAAATGAAAACACATGCTGTAAATTATGTATCTAAAAGTAATACAATTCATAAAAGACAGATAAGATAAAGTAAGATGTGTGTTACATCACCGCTAAATATTTAAAAAAATAAATAACTGCGAACGTTAGCAAAATACAAGGCTAAATTACATAAATAAACATATAGCGATGTTGAAGCGCGAGCGAACGCGGAACTGAACATCACGCCACGCCACCTCTATTCGTCCGAGATGCGTAGGGACGCACAAGGTGACCGCAGAGCACACGTCATGTACATACCTACCGCGATTGTAAGCCTGGCATTCGCAAGCAATTGTGCGATAGAAGTGGTGTAGTATACTAAGTAAAGTTAGTAACTGTTTCTGCTACTTTGAAATAACTGTTCAAGAGATACAGGAAATAAAAACATGAGATTGGCAGCAGCATTTCACCTCAAAATAATGGAAAATTGCCGTTGCCAATCCGCCTTCCAAGTGTGGTAACTATAGCAAAATATGATAGGTTAGCCACAAATTATTTGTACAGATTTATTTAAGTTTACATAAAATAGCAAGAACTAGCACTATTTATTCTAAATAATAGTACTTAATGTAGACAGTTTTTATTTTCACCGGTTTTCCAGTTAAATGGCAAGTTATAGTTGTATCCAAATGTGAAAACAAGTGTTACTCTTTCTTTCTAAGTCAACCTATCTAAGTAAGAAGATAGAAGAGCTTGTTTCAAGCTGTTTCAACCACGGTATCAAACATTGGATCTTCGTGGATCAGGAAGCTTGGACACAACATAATACGCCTTTTATAGTGGGATTGAAGTTTGCTATTTATTATTTATTAAGTTTTTTCGCAGTTATCTAAAACATCAAAAAAGCAAATATCTAATAAGGTTGATGAAAGGTATAAAGAAAAGACACCACGTTACCAAACAAAAAATACATACTATAATGTTCACTACGTACCGCTGAAGTAAAACTTTATCAACTTAAACAATATTAATAGTATTATTAATATTAATTTCTGTTGTATATTTATTATTATTGTTATTATTTACTAAAATTATATCGTGAATATGAGTGACTTTGGGACACCTATCGGATCCTAGCTATGAACGATCGTCTCGACAAAACAAATATATTGTAATAAACATTATTTTAATATTATTGGTTTATTAACTTTGGTACAAGTATTTAAACTTTAAAACTGTTCCTAAAACCGATTTTAAGTGCTTTTTTACTACACTGAACTCATAAGATTTACTTATTGTATGTGCTAATTAATTTAAAAAAAAAATTAAAACGATGATAGAAACTTCAAAAATACATTAGGACTGTGTGTGACATTTGTGTTTGTGCTTCTATTATTAAATAATCTGTACATAATTTAATATTTGAGTATCGCGTCATGAATGACCTTAAAGATCGTGATGTAACAGTTTGAATCAAACCGTTTGTTCGTACGTGTATGACACTAATTACGGAAATGGTTTCGTTGATAAGAACATTAAAGCAGGCTATACTGATAACTTCAATTTACATTTTGTAAAATTTTATTGTTAATACAATATACCACCAAAAATTAATGAAGATATCTTTACATGATGTGTTATTCTGTAATTTTTTTAAATTGTTTCGTTGTTCACTTTCAGTTATGTAATAAAAGAAGGACATATTTTACGAGCAAGCATTCCCGTCATCCAATGTATTTGTGACTTCTATTAAAAGTTTTTGCATGTGTCTTTACATATACGTACGCGTGTATCTAAAAGATTTTATATAATGAAATGAAATAAAACTAATTTTTTAACTCAGATCTTTTTTGAACTAATAGTAACATTCAGTAAAATTTATATGATCTGTTTACATAGTTTTCGCATTTATTTAATGAAAATTTCATACCTTTATGAATATAATCATGACTTTGATCGTGTTATGTTTGTACTATTTGACCGATAGAGGTCATATTTTTACTCATTTTTTTAATATTAAAATCATTATTGAGAATACATTATGATATTGATAATTGTATTTAATACTAGCTGTGCCCCGCGACTACGCCCGCGTGAAATTTACTACGATTTCATGGATATCAATTTTTTGCGCGGAACCTAATTTTGTTTTTGAGTAATGTTACCCATCTTATACCTAAATATTGACAAATATTGACATGAATATTTATACGATACTGACGTCACTCAATTGTTTTGCCGTCCCGGAACCCCTCCACTAACACTAAACTTTATAGTATGGTATTAAAGTTCAAATTGGCTTTTAAGTATTATTACGAATCTTTTGTATGGGAATATAGAAGTGTTGTTTTTAAACTTTTTCAGGTAGGTAATTTTTAAAATTTTTCTCTCCGTAAGAACCATCTTCGTACTTCAAGGAATATTATAAACTTATTATAAACTTTTTACGTGGTAGAGCCATGCTGCAGCTATATTAATAGTATAGTTGTAGCACGAATGGGTCAGCTCGACCGGGGAAAGACCACGCTCTCACAGAATACCAGCGTAAAATAGCACCTTAATGCTGCTGTGTTTCGTATGGTGCGTGTAGAGAACCGGAGACCTATTTTACTGGAAAAGAGGCATTCTATCTTAGTCCTCACGGCTGACAACGCGTCTGCATTTTAATTCGCAAGCAAAGATATATGTAGATGTCCATGGGCCACAGCAACCACTTATCATCAGGTGGACTGTGTGCTCGTTTGTCACTCTAATTCTATAAAAAAAAGAATTATCGAAATCGGTTCTGCTGCTCTCGAGATTTGCGCTTAACAACACATTCAGCGATTCATTTTTATATTATAGATAAATATTATTAGTTATGTAATTATAATTAAAATAAAATTCTTCATTGATAGATTATTATTTATTAATGAAGAATTTAAGTTAGAAAAATAATTTATCATAAATTATTATTATTTACACTTTAATTATAGCACATCATAAGACTTTTCTGCCGACTTCCAAAAAGGAGACGGTACTCAATTCGACTGTATGTTTTTTTTATGTGTGTTACCTCATAACTTTTTAGTGGGTGAACCGATTTGAATGATTATTTTTTTATTTGAAAGCTGGTACTTCTCGTGTGTGGTGTCTCTTCCCATATGAATTTGATCAAGGTCAGACCAATAGTTTTTGAGTTATTTTTAATAACTCATATTGAAGTCGGCTGTACAAAATTTTTAATTTTAAATTATTTACGTAGTAGAGACATGCTGCAGCTATATTACTGGTATAGTTGTAGCATGAATGGGTCGGCTCGACCGGGGAAGGACCACGCTGTCTGTTTCTGTTTCTTACAGAATACCAGCGTAAAATAGCAGCTTTTACGCTGGTATGTGAGTGGTTTGTATGGTGAGTGAAGAGAACCGGAGACCCTTTTTACTGGAAACGAGGCTAGTCCTCACGGGTGACAACGTATCTGCATTTTGATTCGTAGTCGAGGATAGAAAGATGTACATATGTATGGGCCACAGCAACCACTTACCATCAGGTGGACTGTGTGTCCGTTTGTTACCTTAATACTATAAAAAAGGTGTGTTTTCTTCGCTTTGCCATTCATAACTTTAGCTCCGAAAACAAATGACGTACCGATGTTATTATATTTTATTAAATTATACGTGGTAGAGCAACGCTACAGCTACGTTATGGTCGCAGCATAAATGATTCACCACGACCACGAAAGGAACGCTTTTACAGAATACCAACATTTAGCGAACGAGGCATTCCATATTAGACTTCAGAGGTGACAACGCATCTATCTGCATTTTGAATCTTAATCGAAGATAGAAGAAGACTCGCAGTATTTACTTATAGGTGGACTGTGTGCTCGCTTATAACCTTTACTTTTATAAAAAACAATCACATTGTTAAACTGAACGTGGAAATTCTGAAGTTACTAATTTATATTATCATCAGGAAATGATGGCATAAGTTTTGATTGGCGGTTGATTTAAGATAACTGTACTGGTTATCGCTCTACCACCGATAAGGATTGTAAATGCGTCAAGTATTTACCTCACATATAGTTTTACTTGAGCTGATTTAATATATTTGTTTAATATCTCTGTAGTGCGTTACCTATAGCAATTAATAAATATATTTAAAATTTATTGTTTTTGTTTCAAAAAATTTAATACTCAATGTTGTGTATTTTTAACGGTTGCCACAAACTAAATTAAAAACTTACCAATCGCCACGCAATGTGTTTCCGGTTAATATTACTTGTGTTCGTTCTATATCGGTGGCGATTTTCAGAAGACATTAGAGATCTTTATCATATCAACGTTTAAAACTAAAAGAACTAGACAGGCAACAAAGGTCTTCAGGCAAAAAATTGTTCTTTCACTGTTGAGTTACGATAGCTAGTGGTAAAAAACGAAAACATTCAATTTCCTTATGTATAAATTAATATTTATAATAATTATATAAAATACTAGCGCAGGCAAAAATATTTTCCAATGCAAAGTTCACATGAAGGGATTATCTGATTCAGTTCTATCACAGCATTGAAGCAGTGCTACACTAACTGAAGCTATATAGAATTGAACTACAAGATCCGTAGATATGGTAAGACTACAATTATTACGTCATGACCTTCATTGGCCGCTAGGGATGTGTGGCGCCTTCTTTTATACATGCTCTATCAATTAACATTCTTTACTTTTACGAAATATTTCACTGATACCAATAACAAATTAAACGGCTCATTGTACAATATCTTAAAACATGGACCTTAGAATTTGAAATAGAATTAAACCTAAAAATAATTCAAATTACGTACTTTAGCCAAGGCGAGCGCGCGCTCTGCTGATTATACCTAGAAAGGAAATACTTTAATATAATAGTGATATATCAATGTACGAACACAAAGTTGGCAGGAAGGTCTAGGATCAAGGCTCGTAGCAAAAAGATTATCATGGGCACTGCCGAACGAGGATAAACTGAGGCGGAAGCGAACGGAGCGAGGCCGAGGACAAACCGCCAATTCACAAACTGAACTCACTGCCACCTGAAGTAATAAAACTTTCAACCAATATCCATGTCCCTATATATTTTCTGAATTACACTTAAAGCTTATTATTTGACCAACGTTGAAATGCGTGAGTGTACTTATGTAAAAAAATCAAAGGTGCCTGGTGTATTGTACGTTGTATGTTAATACATAAGCTGTCACCGACAATACTTTTAAATTATTACGTCCACACTTAATAATATGTTTTAAACACAAAGAGACATTTTACAAGTTCATTATGCAACTCTCCAGTCATACGTGACGTGTCGCCGTACGCGATCGCGGAGCTCACCTCACATTATGTACATACAATCCGCAACTTTGAGCACGCAACGAACCAACAATATTTGGCAATGTGACTATTGGAAAGCACAGACACTGATAGCAATGTAACGCCGCATAGACATCAATCTAACTGGGACACATTGATTTATAACTTAGACAAGAAACCGTGCCACCTCGGCCCTACTGCGTGCCTCGTTGTTTTACCATGAATATGCAAACAGATAATCAGAACGTGGCAAATTAATGTTAGCTAAATTGGTATTATGCCTTCTAATTGTAATTGTTTTTCTTACGATCAGTTGTTAATCGAGACAAATCAGCGTTGAATACGCCAATAGCATCTCATTCAACTTTTATTGTACTGTGATTAACAAAATTAATACAACGATTAGAAAGGGCTTTGACTTCAATCTATTAAAAATTGTACAAAATTACTTCCGCAAAAACTTGCGAGGTTGTTATCGTCAGTTTCATTAATATTTGTCTATTATATTTCGATGGTCATATTATAACCACTTTTAAGTATATTATGTAAAATATTACATCCTTAAAGATATATAACATCAATTAAATAAAAATTAAAGACATTTCTATTTCACCCGGGAAGTAAGTATACTAAATAATATATGTAATTTATATTTATTACTTATTATTATTTTTGGACCTTAAATATTAAGATAATAAGTAATACCTACTTATGTTACAAAAAATAATAACAGACATTTCTTATGGGTATATTTGAGTTGATTTCTGAGTATATTGATGATAGTAGAGTTTTTATACATGTTAGTATTTTGATCATCACTTCATCAACATTATTTTTAGTTCCATATCTGGACATAAACCTTTCTAAGAATCTGCCTGCTAGCAACCGATACTTAGAAGATTTGTCCATTCTAATATTACATAAATATACTTATAATATACTAACACTAACACAATATAATAGTACTAATTAAATCTTTAATGCACTTTAATTATAATAAATCTATTAGTGATAGAAATATACAATTCCATACAAACAGCGAACAACATACAAAGGCCTCACTCACGTTTTAAGAGTTAACTCGCTTATTAAAATATTTACTAGCCCTGACACATCTCCCGACGTACGAGTACAAGTATATGTGGGCGTGCGCTTTGTGCGTGCTAAGACGTCATACTGGTTTTATCAACGACTTCTGTGTAACAGCTAAAAGAAAAGAATATAAATTATTTCTTCCGCTTTTACTACATATTCAAATTGGACTTAGTAATGTTTGTTAAATAAATAAGTAACAACGACGCCATTATAGTCTCTCAAGTGTGTAAATTGCTCGTTTATATTATCATAATCATATCACAGACAAATATAGCATTGCCATTTTATTATTAGTGTGATTTTTTGCCTATGTGTGTTAATATGTGGCAAGACGTGGTGCGTAGCAGATAGTCAGCCTAATAGCAGCGTCGGCATGGAGAACGCGACCCGGTTCGCCGATCGAGAAAGCATCTACAAAACTCGGTTGAGGCCGCGCACACTGTAAAGAGGACGTGCCTTTGTATGCAATTAATGTGCAATATAAAACCTCCTACAATTCCTTTATCAAGATACAGGCGAATGGGATCGTAAGTTAACACATTTTTCAGGAATCTGTCGATACTATAGTTAGGAATAAACATAATTTAAAACGCTGATCTATTGCTAATCAATAAAACTTTTATAATTCAACTAGCTGTTCCCCGCGACTTCGTTCGCGTGTTAGGGTTTTTATGTTTCTGCGCGGAACCCTGATTATTTTTCTAAAATAAAAGTAGCCTATGTTACTCCTTATGAAATCAGCTATCTGCCAGTGAAAGTCCCGTCAAAATCGGTCCAGCCGTTTCGGAGATTACCCGGAACAAACAGACAGACAGACAGACAGACAAAAATTTTAAAAATTGTATTTTAGTTATAGGTATCGTATTTACTTTCATATGCATTTAGTAAAAAACTGTAATTTTGACATTACAAACAGACACATCAATTTTATTTATTTGTATAGATAAAAATTATGTTCAGTTATTGAGGTTTAAATAGATTAATTTAATTGAATGTACTTAATGATTAGTACATATAAAATATTATATCATATCTGATATGTAACACGAGCAAAGCAGTCACAGAAAATCACAACAGATTCAGAGTTGAATTAGATATTTGTTTTAGAGCGTATGTATTGACATATATAAATATACACAATATTACATTCGCGGAATTCTGTTCATTGCTCAAAATAAAACTACATCAGCTAATATTGATTCTTTAAAACAAAAAACGTAATCGAATTACCAAATATTTTAAAGTTTATGCTCAATATTTTAAAATTAATTTGTTTAACAACGTCCTAGGCCTTGAATTCATGAATTGGGCGTCCCTGTTCTACTTTTCTATGTAACAATGCATTAATCACCATATTATGTTAGGACCACGTCGGCCATATTTTAATGAAATACATATTAAAAGCTTTGCGCTTTAATAATTGTCGATACATTGAAAAACAACTGCAAAATTTTAAGCATAATTTATTAATTTAAAGGTTCTAAGAGAATCACGTTGTTTTAGAAAATTACTATAATTAGTGTGTAGAGAGAAAGAAAACGGGGTCAAGTTTGACATCGCGATGCATTTGACCTACATGGAAAATTAATGTTCTTCGACAAAATTAGACAAAAAGGAAACTGGTATTTTTAATCGAGTACAAAAGAAACGGGAAGGTTCTGTATGTTGATTTCTCGAAAACTGCTGAATAGATTTAATTTTTTTTTAAATTAAATAGGATGTACTTCAGTTACTGATACCATATAAATTTGTTGCAAACATCCCGTCCCTAAGGGTGAAAATAGGAAATAGTGCAGATTTTTTTATTATTGAGACATTTTGTTACCTTAAACTTGTGATATTCCTTAGACCACTCCAAAGGTTATAAATAAGTAGTTTAGTTTTGAAGTCGGTTTGTACTTTTTATTAAAAGTTTAATAATTTTTTATATGTATTGTTTTAATACAAATTGTAATAAAAGTAACATTTCCAATTGAATTTTAAGGCATAATTTTAACTCCCGCATTTTTTAGTGAAAAAAAGTCGTGTCTTGTATTCATAAGCTTGTTCATTCATTTTGCTATTGCGGCCAGTGACGTCTGTTTCGGGTCGCGAGGTAGAGTAAGAGGCACAAGGTAAAAGATGGTGCATTGAATAGCGGCCTTAAGCCCAATAGCAATCTGCGACCGTGTCGCTTCCTGCTGGCACGAAGGCGACAATGCCAGCTGCTTCTCTCAGCTGAAGGTGACAATAGCTAAGCTTGAGCGCCACTTCATTTATATACCAATTAAATCATAATTTATCAATTTTTACATATAAAAATTACGTGTCACATTGTTTGTCCGCAACTCCTAAACTATTAAACTAATTTAAATTTTGTAAATTATTGCTTGTTCGAACTTGAGAGATAGGAAAGTTTTATCCCAATGACTTGCCCTAAATATTTTTTATTGCGAATTTAAGCATTTTTATACGACAAAGGATCATCGGAACAGGCAGAACAACGTCTTCCTGGCCAGCAAGTCGATATAGCTGTCCTGAGTGACTGACTCATCTATCAACGCACAGCCCAAACCGCTAGACGTAGAAATCTGAAATTTGGACAGTACTGCTTTTATGACGTAGACTTCCATTAAGAAACTTTTTTAATTTCAATCCCTAAGAGGATAAAACTGGTTTTTAGAGTTTTTATTTCACGGGACTCAAGACTTACTGAATAAAAATAAATGAATACGGATTTTGCGATTTCTCAAGTCAACCCTCTCACAACAGAAATCTCGTGCAAATACTCTTGAATCAAAATAATATAATATTCATTTTTTATTGTACAAAAATTTACCCTGAAGGTTTTGAAACGAGGTTGTAAAATGTTGTATGAACAATATTGTATTAAGACGCACAGCCTAAACCGCAAGACGTAGAAACTTGAAATTTGGACAATATCTGCTTTTATGACGTATGCATCAACTTAGAAAATATTTTGTAAAATTCAACCCCCTTGAGAACTTTTAATTTTACTGGGTGATTGACTCGAAAACTCGTAATTCTTGTAAATGGAGTAAATGAATACAGGTTTAGCGATTTTTCAAAATAATCCCCTACGAATGGAACGGGGTTATGGGGCAGCAGTATTCAAATTTGTATGGAGAAAAAATAATTAATAGTCTCTTTAATTTATAAAGTACCCTTTTTTAAATTTTGCTCTTCAGGTTCTAAACGAGGATGCAAAGTTTGTATGGTCGTAGAAGCATGAAATTGGGACATTTGCTTCCTTTTATTAATAGGCAACCACTAAGAAAGTATTTTGGAAAATTTAAACCCTGAGAGGGTTAAATACGGTGTTACAGTTTGTACGACACTATTTATTTTACGGGACGATTTCATATTTAAGTATAGAGAAAAATTATTGAATGATTTTTGCAGCTTAAAAATTGGTACCAATGTTTTTATTTAGATTAAA